CATAATACACATAATTGGGCAGACTGGGTGGGGGCTTACCATTAGGTGTGAGACACTCCTGCAGACACACAATATCGATGTCCTCAGTCACAACTTTGTGGTGTAGGTCAGGGTATCGTTTTCTTAGGGATGAGATGTTCCAACTCATCACCTTCACCGCTCTGTATCTTTGCCTGGTATTAACACTGGCCATTATGAAATGTATTTGGAACTTTGTCTGGTATTAACACTGGCCATTATGAAATGTATTTGGAAAGAAGCAAAAGGCACTGTATGATACTGTTCTTTTCTGCGCTGCCTGTCCCTTCGGCAGGCAGTAGGCCAGTTAACCTTTTGGAAACATTTCTGGAGCACGTACGGCTCAACAATTGTTGTATGTCATTGGCAGACAACAACACACTTTGGTTACACTCGACATCACCACCATTTTCTGTTTGTGCTTGTTCATCTTCACTGACCATGTCCACAGAGGCATCAGTAGAACTGTTACCAGTATCACTATTTTCCTCTGCGTGGACACTAGTTCCTGGTGGGTCTTGAGTTTCCACATCTGGTACTGACATCTGAATGTCTTCAGTTTGACTGTAATTTTTCCGTAGCTGCTGCACTGTGTTGGTGGTGTTTTTTTCCTTTAGTGTATCACAGAGGCTCCTAAACATTTCAGTTTGAGCTTGAGCTTGAGCTGTAAACTGAGCTTTGAGTTCTTTAATTTCATTTTTCAAATCATTGATCTCTTCACGATGTGCATGGAGTGTGTTGGCAGCTACCTGTTGAGTCGGTACGTCTGTGTTGCCCCATGCTGATCTTTCGATGACTGCTGGTGATGATCCTGGAGCTTTGGTGGGGAGGGCAGGCCAGGGGTTGGCCGTAGGGAGTACCCTAGCAGCATTAGTGTTTCTTGAGACCTGCCTGGGTGGCGGGTCTGGGCGCTGAAGGGGTGTAGGAGCTCTAGAACAGTTAGGGTGCCATACAGGAACTCCAACTGTTTTGCAGTTAATACACTTCTGTTGGATGACACCCCCTTGAGCAACTGTATCTCTGCAAACCTGTGTTGCATGTTGCCTTGAGCAGAGACCACACCACGGCTTAGTCGAGGGGCATAACCGGGCCACATGGCCCCAGTGCTGACAGTTGTAACACCTCCGGTTAGGGGGCTGATAAAGAGTTACCTTCAGAGTCCGATAGGCACCACGGACTCGAATGGTCTTGGGTGGGTCTTCAGAGCCAACCCAGTCTGCAATGACTGCATTCTTGCCCCTGAGTCGCTTCGTCCTTCTGATGTAGGGATGAGCTTCTAGTAGTGTAGGGGTCTGGTACTGGTCGAGCCCTATGATTATGATGGTTTTCTTGCTCCATGGTTGGGATGATTGTTCCATGGTTATTCCCCTTATGCTATTGGTGAGGAGATCCTGTATGACTGCTGGGTCGTTTCTAATCAGAACATGATCTTGTGTACCGACTCTGAACTGAAACTTAGCCTCTGGGTGTTTGTCTTCCGCATCGTTCAGCCAGAGATACTTGTCTTCAGGTGATGTACCTTCAGGGAAGTATAATCTTACTCTCATGGGGGGTTGTGGTTGTAGTTGATTGTCTCTAAGTCTTTCTGCCTTTTCGGCCTTCCGCTTGTTCCTGGACTGAACTAGTTGAAAGCCATCTTCTCCGTTGGTGTCAAGGTCAACACCACAGTCGCCTGGCTCACTCAGTGCATCAGGAGAGTTAAAGCGAGCAGCTGGGTCTCCAGTCAACTCAGACATGGTGGAGTTACAGGGCTCGACTTATATGCCTACGTCAGAGGGCCGAGGACTGCTTGGCACTCCTAGGAAGTCAGCGGTGGTTGGGAGGCGTAACCCTCTTAGAGGACAAAGGAGATTGGCATCTACTGTACAGCGTATTAGCGGTGTGAGGGGAGGCCATGAGCGGGCCTCCCGCGGAGGGAGTGTGGTGTCGGGGGGACTAAGGTAACAGGAGTTTTCTCAGTTTATAAACACTTTTGTTACACACTCATATTGTGGTTAATAACTACGGGGGGCGGGTCCGGTCGTTGCGTCTCTGTAACAAAGCGTGTTCGGCATTCGGGCCTTCGATGTTGAGTGGCAGGAATTGGACAGTGATTACATAAGAACATCAATATCGTCTTAGTGATGTGAAAGTGTACATCGATGTAGGATTTTTAATGCTAGACGCGATTGTATTTTTGAAAACTCAATTTCCACCGTGTTGGAGGTACAGCCCAGGTCAGGCCTAAAACCACAAAATCACTGCCATATGACAAAGCTTTTATTTTATTTTCATTTACGGAGTTGTGGTCACGGCTGTGATAAAGGCTAACCAGGGAGTGTAGTACTGTGATTTTAAGTAAATCAGTTCATAGTGCAATCAGTGATCGCGGAAGAGGTTGTAAATAACTTAAAGTAAATACAAACTAGCAAGCAAGCTGGTAAGGCACCGCTGCCAGCTGAAACCAAATCGTGTTATAGGTGCCACAGAGACTTTAAATTTTATTTTTGTCTGTGTGCTTTCTCATGGACTGAAACTGTGTCTACAATACACCATTCACAGGGAGATACAGTGTACACAGTGATAGCATAAGACAACTCTACAGGCAACAGGGAAGGTGGTTAAACCCAGAGGAGAGCAGCTAAGTACTGTTCTTTTTTTCCTTTCTTTCTTTTTTTAAATAGGTGTAGATCTATACACAGTCTGCATCCCCCACAACAACAACAACCATGAGTTTGATATGTGATTACTGCAGGGAGACGTCGGATTTGGAGGATACAGGCCTGACTAATGCAACGTTTAGGAAGATGCTAACTACCGTAAGGCATGAAGGCTGTTGCTGGTATTGCCCTGACTGCATAGTCAAGGTGAAAGAGGCGATTGCAAGCCATAAGGGAACGAGTTCCCTAAGGACAAAAATAGATGAAGCTGGAGCCCTGTTGGTTGCCAAACTAGAGCAAGTTGGGAAAGAGATCCTTGAGGAAGTAGCTGATAGAATGGAGGTGGTTGCTAAGAGGAGTTATGCTGAGGCATTAGCAGGGCCACGAGAGGGGGCGGAGAGTAATGCAGGATCAGAACAGGTTCTACAGCAGCTAGGGAAGTGTGTCGAAGATATGAAAATTAACTGACCTACTGTTAGGGGAGAGGAGGAACAACGGGAACGTCTCCAGCGCAGGAACAATGTAATAGTTTTTGGAGTCCCCGAGAGCCAGGCGGAGGGAACTGAGAGTAAGGTAACACACGATAAGATGCAGTTTCAAAATATTTGTACAGAGGTTCTGAAGATGCCATCAACCCCACAGGATGTGAGGAGGCTGGGACAAAAGCAGGGGGATAAGCCTCGCCCCCTCAGGATCACAATAATGAGCGAGGAGGAGAAATGGCTGGTTATTCGGCAGGCAAAAAACTAAGCAAGGAGCGAGGCATTTCGGGATGTATTCATTCACCCAGATCGCACGGTAATGCAGAGGGAACAGCACAAGAAGCTCCTGCAGGACTTGAAGCAGAAGAGGGAGGAGTCAAGGAGGAACGGGGACGGGTGTACATGGGTTATATTCAGGGAGAGGGTAGTAGAAGCAAGCTTGCCGACACAGGGCCAAGGGACAGCAGCGCACCCTCCACCCGCTCTACCCCACACCCGGTAGGTGGCACCAGCTCCGCCTAGTAGACAGGAGGAGACGAGCGCCGTGTAAACAATGAAATTTCTAACTACACCGTGCAAAATACAGTGTACTTAGCAAATGCTGCAGCTTCTGAAAATGGGGGGGGGGTTACTACTAAGTGCAGAGACGTTACCGAGAACACATTCTGGTTTGAATGTCATGTACACTAATACTGACACGTTTCTTGATAAGAGAGAGGAGTTTGAAACACTACTGAAAGCACACCAACCAGATATTTTAGGAGCTGTAGAACTGTTGTACAAGAACAGGATTATTGAACCAGAGGAATGTGAGTTCAGTCTTGCTGGATATGACTCATTTACGAACCTTTCTCAAGAAACTTACAAGAGGGGTGTGGTTTTTCGAATGGTCTGAAAAATGGCAGATGAAATTCAACGTCGACAAATGTAAAGTACTCAGTATAGGAGATGTAAACAGGGAAACCAGATACCAGATGAACAACGATGCCATAGAGAAATCCGACTGCGAGAGAGATTTAGGAGTAATGATAAGTAGGAACCTTAAGCCAAGTAAACAATGTGTTTTTGCTCGTAACAAGGCTAATAAAGCACGGGTCTTAAAGGATGTTAGTTACAAGACTAGCGAGGTCATCCTAAAACTGTATCTTGCTCTTGTGAGACCACACCTGGATTACGCAGTTCAGTTCTGGTCACCGTATTACAGAATGGATAAAGAATCCTTGGAAAGAATTCAGAGGAGAATGACAAGACTAATCCCGGGCATTAGGAACCTTGAGTATAGAGACAGGTTAAAGCATCTTAATTTGCACTCCTTTGAGAGACGTAGAGCGAGGGGCGACCTGATAGAGGTGTATAAGTGGAAGGCAGGGCTAAACAAAGGGGACATTACAAAGGTACTCAAATTATCCAACCAGGAGCGAACTCGTAACAATGGTTTTAAATTAGACAAATTTAGATTTAGGCGTGAAATAGGTAAACACTGGTTTGGAAACAGAGTAGTGGATGAATGGAACAAGTTACCAAATATCATCATTAACTCGAATACGCTGAATTGCTTCAAACATATGTTGGATGCTCATATGAGCAATAGGGGTTGGGTGTAAACGGGACTGCCCAGTATGGGCCAATAGGCCCGCTGCAGTTTTCTCCATTCTTATGTTCTTATGTTCTAATCTATGCTAGGCAAGACCTTACAGCCAGCCAGGCGAAGGTACAGGGAGAGGATGTTTTTGAAGAGTCCAAGTGGTGAAAAATTAAATTAAAGGGAGGGGACTTACTTATCGTCGGGTGTATCTACAGATCCCCAAACTGTGGCCCACTAAATCAAAGGAACTTAAGAGCACTGGGCCTGGGGGTAGCCTGGACTGCGATAGGACATCCCAGGCTCCACACTGCTACAGTGCAGCTCCCCAATCCTACAGTGCAGCTCCCCAATCCTACAGTGCAGCTCCCCAATCCTACAGTGCAGCTCCCCAATCCTCCAGTGCAGCTCCCCAATCCTACAGTGCAGCTCCCCACACCCACAGTAGAGCTCCCCACACCCACAGTACAGCTCCCCACTCCCACAGTACAGCTCCCGACTCCCATAGTAGAGCTCCCCATTCCCACAGTGCAGCTCCATACTCCCACAGTGCAGCTCCCCACTACCCACAATGCAGCTCCCCTCCCACGTCTTTGGGGTACATACCGGAGGTGACAGCAGAGGGCGGGGAGGCGGTGGGAGAGGAGGCGGATGGTGCCCTGGGTGATTCTGGTGTCTCCACAGGCGTCAACTGCCGCTCAAGACCTGCCGGAGATAACCTATCTTACTGACCAGTCTGTACTGTACTGTACTGTACTGTACTGTACTGTACTGTACTGAACTGTACTGTACTGTAAAGTAGTCTAGGCTAAACATGTATTATTGCAGGAGCAAGAGATAGTCTTTATACACAAGTGTTGTAATATAAGTATTGAGTTTATTTATATCTGCACCACAGAATACAAATGGCCAGGACCCACTGGGCCATGGACAGTAACAGTACGCCTGTCGACTCACAAGTTGCCTGGGGCGGCTGGCCAGGCCTAGAGGTAGCTGACAGCCGCTTGGCCAGGGCCGGCACAGGCGGGGAGGTGGAGCGTAACTCTGAGGCGGATCGAGGTGACGTCACCAGCTCCTCACTCCTCGAAGGTGTCATGGGCGGCAGGCGGCGAGGTGTGGGTGGCCGGGAGCAGGGTGACGGAGGCTGGCTGCTGCTTCTACCATCCAAGGACAAATCTGCTACTATTCGTCCTGTGAAGACATTTTCATAGAGATAGTTTATTGTGGTAAGACACTGCCAGAATGTTTGTGCCATGAACATTATAACACGCTCCACTATGGAAGCAGAAGAAACAGACAATTACTGGTATGAAAATTACCTTGTAGGGCCGGCTGAGAACCTGAGCTGCCGGGACGACTGCCGGGACGGCTGCCGGAGCCCAGACAGTTGGCTGCAGATAGACTCCTGGGAGAGGGTGGTCTTGAGAGAGGGCGTGAGGGAGGGTTGGGGAGCTCCGGAAGCATGGGCGTGGAGTCAGCACTCTGGAGGCGCTTAAGGACGGTGGGGATGGGCGGGCTGTTGGTGCGAGGCGCCGGGACACTGGTGTCTGGGGCGAACTCCGGCACGTCGAAAGTTGACTCACCTGCAGGAAGGTTTGTTTTACTTATTTGACCTTAACCCTTTCACTCCTGGATAGTTAAATCATCGTCCTCAAAGGGTTAAACTATTGTTATCAAAGGGTTAAACTATTGTTCTCAAAGGGTTAAATTATTGCTAGCAAAGAGTTAAATTATTGTTGGCAAAGGGTTAAACTATTGTTCTCAAAGGGTTAAACTATTGTTCTCAAAGGGTTAAACCACTGGTCTCACAGGGTTAAATTGTTGTTCACAAAGGGTTAAATTATTGTTCTCAAAGGGTTAAATTATTGTTCTCAAAGGGTTAAATTATTGTTCTCAAAGGGTTAAATTATTGTTCTCAGAGGGTTAAATTGCTGTTCTCAAAGGGTAAAACTACTGTTCTCAAAGGGTTAAATTATTGTTCCCAAAGGGTCAACTATTGTTCTCAAAAGGTTAAACCATCATCCTCAAAGGGTTAAATCACCACCCTCAAAGGGTTAAAATTTAAACACTTAGGATCATAAAATATAACAATAACACCGGGAGGGAGAATCAGTGGAATAAAATATATATTTGACCATAAGAAGAAGAAGAACTGACAGAGGCCAGTAAGCGACCCTCACCTGTGAGTTTCCGCATGAGGGCGGGCACAGGTGGGGAGGAGGATCGTGCTGGGGCTGGGGTGTACACTGTGGGCGTGGTCACCACCTGCACGTCGTCATCATCGTCGTCTGGTTCCTCCTCCCCCTGCATGCTCTTGTGGGTGGGTAAGGGAGGGGAGGGTGGTGGCTGCGACAACAATACCACAAACCATCATTATACACTACAGTACACACGAGTCAATTAACATTCAAAAGAAATATTTAAAATAAATGGTTATATGAAGTTTAAAAGCTACATTTCAAGAATTATTAAACAGCATTATTAATGCACATCAATGGCGCCGTGACTACAGACGCTCCAATTCATATGTGTCTTAGTCAATGCTCCCTGGAGATACTGTCGGTCACAACAATAACTCCATAACTGGTGCAGGGCGTAGACGAGTTATGGAACTGTACCATTCATAGAAACAACTATTTTCTGCGTTTTTCAACCGTTAAAAGCCATCATAACATCCAATAAGTCCTTCATAAAGCCTTGGGAAATAAAGGTCGCGAATGCAGAAGGATTTACAATGCATATGATACCAAGAAAATTTTTACAAAACCCCACATAAACAAACATACCAACGGACGGTGTGGATTTGGTGTGGGTAGGTAATGCAGTGTGGGTGTGATTTGGGTGGAGTGTGAATATGGCGTGGGTAGGTAGTGAACAGTAAACATGGTGTGGGCGGTGGACTGTGTTTGTAGTTACCTTGGGGGCAGGTTCGGGCGTGTAAGGGTAGTGGAGTGCCGGCGTGAGGGAAGGTTTGATGGTTGGCCACTGCCTGGAGGTGGCGGAGGTCCGGCTGCTGCGTCTTCTGTCTCGGGGCGATGGTGACCTGGAGAAGAGATAACACAGTAAATATTGTGGCGAAAGAAAGAAGGAAAGAAAGAAAGAAAGAAAGAAAGAAAGAAAGGAAGGAAGGAAGAAAGGAAGGAAGGAAAAAAAAAGAGAGAGAGAGAGAGAGAGAGCAAATCCACACCAATTGTGAATCTATGCTTAATAGAAACACCAAGCCGCTGAACTAGAAAAACAATATCAACCTTCTGACATAATTAGGAAGGCAGACAGACAGACAGGTGGAAGGAATGATAGACTGAAGATATTGTAATAAATAAGACGATAGACAGGTGAGTAGGCCAGGTGTGATGGACAAGTAAACAGGACAGGTGTGATGGACAGGTGAACAGGACAGGTGTGATGGACAGGTGTGATGGACAGGTAAACAAGACTACCTTGAGATATCAGATGACAGAGACTCCTGGCGGGACTTATCCCAGGTCTTGCGGCGTCGACGTTGGGGTTGTGGCTGATCACTCTCCTCGGTGCCCGTGTCCCGCTCACACCGACTCAGTGATCTGTAACACACACAGCCCGTCACTCACTCTCACATCACTCACAACACAAGATTTCCAGAAACTTTGAATCAGTAACTGGTATTTGGCAAATACAAGACTCGCTTTATTTTCGCTTTTATTTTTACGAGGTGAAATGAAATTTTGTGAAATAGAAACAAATTAATTAATAAATGCTAAAGTATTTTTTCACAACAATAATGTAAGAACAAATCATGTAGTTAAAAATTTTAGTATATTTCGAAAGGAAAATTATGAGGCGCTCTACAAGACAAGGATGAACCCGCCAAAGCAACATTGTGAGATATTGGGGTTCAGATGTTCTTATGGTCTCAAAAGCCTTGTGTACAAGGCGGATTTTCGAATTGATAGGGGCGAGCCCACCACATGATGTCAGTCTAGTATTATGGAGCAATATGACTGAGCTGTCTGGAGACCTAAAATAAATTTTTGACCCATGGCGGCCTCGCCCTTGTCATACAAGATTATCACTCGGGAACATTCAGGAATGTGAAGCCCTCTACTTAACGGATTACACAGAGAGAAAAGTCCGTTATATGGAGGGTTCACTGCAGATCTGAGGTTAAATTGTAGGTCAATGAGATGAACCTGACCTGGCAGCCCGCCGCCTGAGCCTCCTGCTGGAGTACGGATCCTTCTCTGACTGCTTCCTGTAGGGTCTGTCACTGTGGTTATGGCCCCAGGGTGGGCGGGCGTCGCTGCTGTGGCCACTGTCACGAGGCAGGGACGCCGTGTTCCTCCTACTACCTCGCCTACGGGACTCACGTCGTGGACTGCTCCTGAAGGAAACAGACAGCGTGTTCGACTGAGGCTCCGCCAGGGGCAGAAAGCCTCTATATTTTATTTATAATATAAGCCTCCTTATCAGCAGCAGATGTATCCTCTTACACCTGGCAGGTGGAGGGTCATCACACTGGGGGCCACAAACATCTGTCAGGTGGAGGGTCATCACACTGGGTGCCACACTCACTTGTCAGAGGATGGTCATCACACTGGGGGCCACAATCATCTGTCAGGTGGGAGGGTCATCACACTGGGGCCACACTTACCTGTCAGGTGGATGGTCATCACACTGGTGCCACACTCACTTGTTGGGAGGAGGGTCATCAAGACTGGGGCCACAATCATCTGTCAGGTGGAGGGTCATCAAGCACTGGGGGCCACACTTACCTGTCAGGTGGAGGGTCATCACACTGTGCTGCACCCCACCTGTCAGGTGAAGGGTCATCACACTTTGGGGCTACACCCCTCACCAGTCAGGTGGAGGGTCACCACTGGGGCCACACTCACCTGTCAGGTGGAGGGACATCACACTGGGGGGCCACACTTACCTGTCAGGTGGATGGTCATCTCAGTGGGTGCGAGACACTCACTTCTGTCAGTGGAGCCCACCACTGGGGCCAAGCACCTCACCTGTCAGGTGGAGGGTCACTGCAGTGGGTGCGACACTCACTTGTCAGGTGGGATGGTCATCACACTGGGGCTACACTTACATGTCAGTGGATGGTCATCACACTGGGGGGTTGCCACCAGCCCATGTGGAGGCTCACTGCCTGGGGGCCACACTCACCTGCTGGGTGGAGGGTCATCACACTGGGGGCCACACTTACATGTCAAGTGGATGGTCATCACACTGGGGGCTTGGCACTCACCTGTCAGGTGGAGGGTCATCACACTGGGGGGCCACACTCACCTGTCAGGTGGAGGGTCATCACACCAAGAACACTTCAATGTGAGGTCATCACACTGGGGCCACTCACTGGCTGTGGAGGAGTCACACTGGGGGCCACACTCACCTGTCAGGTGGAGGGTCATCACACTGCCACCCACCAGTCAGGTGGAGGGTCACAGTGGGTGCCACCCACCAGTCAATTGGAGGGTCATCACACTGGGGGCACACTCACCTGTCAGAGGAGGGTCATCACACTATGGGCCACAGTCACCTGTCAGGTGGAGGGTCATCACACTGGGGGCACACTCACCTGTCAGGTGGAGGGTCATCACACTGGGTGCCACACTCTCGGGAAGGAGGGCCACGGTACTTGGTAGGGGTGATGATGCGGTTGGTGATGTAGTCACCCGGGTAGTCGTACTGAGGCCCAGCAGACAATCGCTGACCTGGTGAGTGATGGAACAGCCGTGAGTGACAGAACAGCCGTGAGTGACAGAACAGCCGTAAACAACAATTACGTCGAGGAAAACAGATACAGTGAAACCTCTATTTAACGGGCTATATGCGAGAGAATAGTCCGTTATATCGAGGGTTGGTTAGATTTGGAACTTCCATCTAGCGAACTATATAGAAATGAAAGTACGTGATATTGAAGTTCCATAAGATGTGAAACCTCCATCTAACGGATTATATATTTTACGGGGTATAGCCCACCTGGGCACAGGTCATCGACCCACAACGGGGCCTAGGGGGCGAAAAAAATATGAGAAAAACAATTAAAAAAATAATAGAAAAAAATATTATATTAATCTACACCTCGAAGATGCCGGAAAACCAGCTTTTTGAAGTGAGACATTGTATGGGTGTGGTAACACAGAAGAAGGCAGAACGTTCCACAATTTGGCTGTGTGAGGAAAAAAGGATGTTGTATATGGAGAGAGAAGTCCGTTATATGGAGGTTTTACTGTAGTCTTACTGTTATCTGATGAACAGTCTCTTTACTCTGACCTTGGCTGTTAGGTTAGGTTAGGTTATACGTTACTCATCTTTTTATTAGCATTAACAAAACAATAAATAATTCCCTGATATATCTTACAAGTGTGGGGAGTAGTGTAGACAGGTGTGTGGAGGAGCGTGGGAAGGTGTGGCAGGTGCGCGGAGGAGTGTGACAGGTGTGTGGTGGAGTGTGGCAGGTGTGTGGAGGAGTGTGGACAGGTGTGCGGTGGAGTGTGGACAGGTGTGTGGAAGAGTGTGGACAGGTGTGTGGTGGAGTGTGACAGGTGTGTGGTGGAGTGTGACAGGTGTGTGGTGGAGTGTGGACAGGTGTGTGGAAGAGTGTGACAGGTGTGTGGTGGAGTGTGACAGGTGTGTGGTGGAGTAAGCAGGTGTGTGTGGAGGTGCCAGGTGCGAGACATTCTTATGGTTGAATACTGTAGCCAGGTGTGTAGAGGGGTGATGGAGGGGGGAGGGAGGGGTGATGGAGGAGTGATGGAGGGGTGATGGAGGTGTAGTGAGGGGTTGTCAGGCCACAGCTTACATCTCAGAAACTCCAGTCTGACCGGACATTAGCCGAGGGCAAAAGTATAGGGTAACTCTGCGGTTGACCAAGGATGGTAAATCAGCCTAGCTCCCCTCCCATGTGACATGTGGCCCCAACAAAACATGTAAGAAGGCACCAGCTGACCCTCTTCCGATATACAATAACCTACTCTCTGAACAAAGGCCGGACCTGACCTCACAATTAGCCAGGTCACTTGTAACCCTTGGAGCCCAACTCAAGGCCTCTCGTGTTACACGGCCCCACCTGACGACTTCTCCTTACATCTCAGAAACTCCAGTCTGACACGACGTTTGGGAAGTCAAGTGTAGGGGAACTCTCACGGTTGCTCTCCCAATATACACATGGCCCCACCTGATGACTTTCCCAGATAGTTCTGAAAAAGTCCAGGCCTGACCGCACATTTGCGGGGTCAAATGTAAGGAGACCCTTCGCCGCCCCCCAGGCCAGCTGAACCTGACGGCTCGCTTCCCAATATATAGGACGTCCTGGTCCTCCCTCCAGGATTCGCAGAGAAGTAGTTGTCTTGTAACAAGGTGGCCAGCTACGACACCACTAGTGCTGCTCCAGCGAAGTCAGGGCCGGAGGCAAGCCGCCTCCGGTCAGGACCGAGACTTCCCTCCGGTGTCCCAGCTAAGCAGGCGCCCTCCCGACACCAGTGTTCCAGCTCAGCAGTCTCCCTGCTAGGCCTCCCCTAGGTCACGTGAGTGTTTGTCAGAGCTTTCCGTGGGATGAGTTACTTACGTGGGAAGTGTATTCATTTCATGTTCGTGTCCGAGAATCAGAGTGTCTAGTAACGTAATATGATGTCCTAGTAACGTAAATATAATGTCCTAGTAACTTCAATAGAAGGTGTTATTAATGTGTCCATGTCATGTCGTTAATTAATAAAGAGTTGTAACGAAGCAGTGTTTAAGAAGTCGCCTTTAAGAACGTAATAGATGTGTATTGATGTATAAAGATACGATAAGTGTACTGACAGTGTAAATAACTATCACGGCCACGCTACCAAAGTCTTCCTCTCTTTATACTCTTATACTATCAATATTCTACTCTATCTCTATATCTTCTACTCTTAAAAGTTCGTAACATTACAATGGCGGCAGCGCCTTAACGTAATACCTGACGCTCTTTACTTTAGGGCAGTTCAGTACAGTGATAGTTAGAATCTTTTTGAAGTAACTGCAACTATCTTGACGAAGCAGGCAGTACAAGGGTGGCGTATTCGTTGACATTATATAGGTGACAGCGAACTATATGTAATTCACGCTCTCCTTGTCTCTTGTTATAGGTGACAGCGAACTATATATGTAATTCACGCCTCCCTCGCTTAGTTATTATAATGGTAGCAGCGAACTTAACGTAAACTCACGCCTTCCCTCGGTTAGCCATAACACCTGGCTCGTTTCATCCTTCATTTGTTTCAGTCTAAGTTTGTCTACAATTGTGTAATAAGTAATTCCCGTGTCGTAGCGTGAAAAGTGGCCTAGTGTGTCACCGCTACAGCTCAAGTAAATGTCTCTCGTCGTGGTATGCGCGAATTTTTTTTTTCTAGAAATATGTTCAGTGCTTAACGTGATTTCTCAGTGTCCCCCGCGATCTGTGACATTCTCAGTAGCCCAAGAGTAGTTTGATTGTTGGTCAGTGTTGAACGTAGAAATTGTTTCAGTTATGAAAGCGGTGTCTGTACTAACTGTTATAACTTAACATGTCTTTTAACCTACATCCTCCTCCCTGTCCTAACCCTCACCTCACCCTCCGTACCCATCCGTTCCCGCCTCGCTCCGCCCTGCCCTGCCCTACCCCGCTCCGCCCCGCCCCGCCCCGCCCCGCCCCGCCCCGCAAAGCCCCGGCCTGGCCCGATCAACCACGCCCCGGCTCCCCCCACCTCACCCGCCACGCCTCGCCCCACCCCGCCCCGCCCCGCGCCGCGCCGGCCTGGCCAGCCGCGCTCCGCAGCCGTGCCCCGCCTCGCCTCCCCTAGGTCGCTGTGACCACCAATCCCCATATGTTTTGTCCCGTGAGTTATGCTTTGAAATCGGTGGTTAGTGTTACTTAATATTGCGATAATTACAGAGCTTCACTCAGTGTGTTTTTATGCTAGTATGATTTGTAATGTTCTCTTTGACGCGTAGTGATAAATAATATTCAATGTAATGAGCAGAGCTTCACTCCCCGACCCAGCCTAATGAGAAAATTGTCGTGACGGAAATAATAGCTACCAAACATTGACGTAACTTATAAAGTAAATATTTGTTTCTTTTTGCGAATGCACTTCCAACTAATCCATCATCCCTTTAGGATTGTTTCTGTCAAATATCACACACAGTACCGCCCCATGGCTAGCCGGAATCCGTCCACAGCACATATACGAAGAGAAGAAGCAGCGTGAGGAATGCAGCACCACACCCGCCACACACCACCCCACTTCTTTCAAGTCCTACCTGGTCTAGGATTAAGAAGAGTTTATATTTTTCTACTAGGAAGTTAAGGAGTGTGGAATGAAGTGCCACACAACGAACCCTGGTGAGCCCAGCCAGGGAGGGATTCACCACTGTGGAAGGTGTAAGACAGGACGGTCTTTGGTCTCGCCGACACTCACGTACGGAGGGCGAGGCCTGGTCCGCGGAACCTGCCTTACGAGTTATCTAAGGAGACGACAGCCCAAACAGTGGACCGGCTTTCATCCTGGCCGGAGAGGGCCGCCGGCAGATGAACAGAAAATCGTCTGGAATATGTTGAAAACGAAGATGTATAAAGAAATACAGATGGAGCAGAAAAATTCATCTGGAATATGACGGAAAACGAAGATGTATAAAGAAACGCAGATGAGCAGAAAAATCGTCTGGAATATGAAAATGAAGATGTATAAAGAAACGCAGATGAACAGAAAATTCATCTGGAATATGAAAATGCTCTAAACGTAGAGGAAGCGCAGGTGAACAGAAAAATCATCTGGAATATTATAGAAACCAGGAGGAAGTGAGAAGAAGTCAGATGTGGTGACACGACCTACAAAGTGCGGTATTGAAGAAGGAAAAACGTGCTATGTGAAGACAGAAGAGACGCTGTGCTGACATCAGAAGAAAGTCGACGATGACAAGGTGGATAATCAAAAGGACCAATCGACTACCGTTGTTGTGCTGCCAGCATTCCTTATTTTCAGATACCAGCTGGATGGAGGACTTGAGCCATGCTGGACCCAACAAATGTACTGATGTTGTTGATGTTGCTGATGTGTAATAAAAAGATATAACACCCTAACATGTTAAGCAGGAGCATTTTGTATGAAGTATTTCATTCTCTGATTTTTGTTAACATGTACTACAAAGAATGTTGTTTAAAAAAAAGATTAGTCACTTTGTCTATGAGTTCATTTGATCAATGTTTTGTATTACCAAACACAATGTTGTAGCCATTTACTGACTGAGATGAATTATTATTTTGACACGGCCTGGTTAGGCAATGTAACACCTGTTTTTGTTTGTAGAATGTGATTTGCAAGTTTGCCTCGGACACTATGCTAGATATGAAGGATCTTTAGATCACTCTATGTTCAATTACTGTGTATGTATTTTATTTTTTTTCTCCTGTCATAGAAGCTTTAATCTTGGCGGGAGGTATAATAAGCTTTGTCAGATCAAACTATGCCAGTAGAAAAACATACATCTCTAGGGTTATTATTTGTAAAATGTAAGGATGCATTATCGCCTGAGGGACTATATTAGATACTGCACATGATGTTACTGTCTACTTTAAATGTATCATCAGTTCTCTGAGCATGAAAGCTTTGGTCTTGGCGGGAGGTGTAGTGAGGGGTTGTCAGACCACAGCTTACATCTCAGAAACTCCAGTCTGACCGGACATTAGCCGAGGGCAAAAGTATAGGGTAACTCTGCGGTTGACCAAGGATTGTAAATCAACTAGCTCCCCTCCCATGTGACATGTGGCCCCAACAAAACATGTAAGAAGGCACCAGCTGACCCTCTTCCGATATACAATAACCTACTCTCTGAACAAAGGCCGGACCTGACCTCACAATTAGCCAGGTCACTTGTAACCCCTGGAGCCCAACTCAAGGGGCCACAAACCAACCAGGGCCTCTCGTGTTACACGGCCCCACCTGACGACTTCTCCTTACATCTCAGAAACTCCAGTCTGACACGACGTTTGGGAAGTCAAGTGTAGGGGAACTCTCACGGTTGCTCTCCCAATATACACATGGCCCCACCTGATGACTTTCCCAGATAGTTCTGAAAAAGTCCAGGCCTGACCGCACATTTGCGGGGTCAAAATGTAAGGAGACCCTTCGCCGCCACCCCAGGCCAGCTGAACCTGACGGCTCGCTTCCCAATATATAGGACGTCCTGGTCCTCCCTCCAGGATTCGCAGAGAAGTAGTTGTCTTGTAACAAGGTGGCCAGCTACGACACCACCAGTGCTGCTCCAGCGAAGTCAGGGCCGGAGGCAAGCCGCCTCCGGTCAGGACCGAGACTTCCCTCCGGTGTCCCAGCTAAGCAGGCGCCCTCCCGACACCAGTGGTCCCGCTAAGCAGACTACCTGCTAGGCCTCCCCTAGGTCACGTGAGTGTTTGTCAGAGCTTTCCATGGGATGAGTTACTTACGTGGGAAGTGTATTCATTTCATGTTCGTGTCCGAGAATCAGAGTGTCTAGTAACGTAATATGATGTCCTAGTAACGTAAACATAATGTCCTAGTAACTTCAATAGAAGGTGTTATTAATGTGTCCATGTCATGTCGTTAATTAATAAAGAGTTGTAACGAAGCAGTGTTTGAGAAGTCGCCCTTAAGACGTAATAGAAGTGTATTGACGTATAAGATACGATAAGTGTACTGACAGTGTAAATAACTATCACGGCCACGCTACCAAAGTCCTCCTCTCTTTATACTCTTATACTATCAATATTCTACCTATATGTAATCTTCTTCTTGTGAGTTTTGTCTCATTACAGAGAGGAGTGATGGAGGGGTGATGGAGGAGTGATGGAGGGGTGATGGAGGAGTTATGGAGGGGGAGGGATGGGTGATGGAGGAGTGATGGAGGAGTGGGGGGAGGGGAGAGAACGCACCTGAAGAAGTATGAAGAAGGGTCAAGAGTGTACCTCGGTCCAGCAGGCCAGACGACGCCAGCAGCACCTCCGGCGTGATACCCAAACTACGCAG